ATCTCGATCACGATGCGGAGCTTCCTGGTGAACTCCTTCGGGGAGGACGCCATGACCGCAATAGCCTCGTCGTCAACGAAAGTCACGTCGAAAATGATGGCCTGGTCACGTTTGTCTTCGTCGCAGCTTTCTCCATCACCTTGCGGAGAGCGCCGGCGTAAGACAGGTTGAATATCACGCCTCCGAGCAGGCACCCTTGGCGCCCGCCTCCTTTCACCGTGAGGACTCCGCTCGAGCCCCGCATTCCGAGCCAGAAGTTGGCGCGTAGAGATCCGATGCGTTTGGCAGTGCGGTGGTGCACGCGGATCTTCTCGCAGATGGGCTCCTGCTCGATCGTGCTGGCCAGTAGGAGGAAGGGGAGGAGGAGGAGGAGGAGGAGGAGGAGGAGGAGGAGGAGGAGGAGGAGGCGAAGGAGGAAGAGAGAGAGGATGAGGGATGAGGAGGAGAGGAGAGGAGAGGTAGGCGGAGTGAGGAGGAAGAGGAGGAGGAGGAGGAGGAGGAGAGGAGAGGAAAGGATGGAGGAAGAGGAGGGTGATGCTCCTCCTCTTTCTCTCGCCCCTCCTCTCTGCTCGTCGGTGCCCGCCCGCGCTCCGGTAAAAACCGCAGGTGTGGCCCGCCGGTGGGCCTACGCCTACGGCCCTGGCTGCTGGATGCGGCCGTGTCGCGGAGCGTCCCTTCACCTGCTTCCTTCCTCTCCGCCATTCGCGCTGTGCTCCCCGTGGGAAAATATCCTCCCGGTCAAAGCAACCTACACATCGATGTTAGGAGCATATCTGGAAGCATTCCCCTTAAGATTCGGATGAGAATCCAGTTGTAGAATTCTGCTGTTCTCGCAGTCGTAGTCGCATTCGCGATGACAGTCGCAGTGGCAACGGCAGTCGCAGTCACAGCCTCAGCCTCAGCCTGCCTCAGTCTCAGCCTCAGCCTGCCTCAGCCTCAGCAGCCTCAGCCTCAGCCTCAGCCTGCTTCAGCCTCAGCCTCATCTGAGTTCTAGTCTGCCTTCAAGCCTCGGCCTCAGCCTCAGCCTGCCTCAGGCCTCAGCCACATCAGCCCAGCCACAGCCTCAGCTCCTAGCCTCAGCCTCAGCCTGCGCAGCCCTCAGCCTCAGCCCTGCTTCAGCCTCACCTCAGTCTGCTTCAGCTCAGCCTCTGTCTTGCCTTCAGCCTCGGCTCAACGGCCCACCGCCAGCCTCACCTGCCGTCGCCGCGCATCAGCCTGCCTCAGCATTCAAAATGTGGCCAGGGAATGGAATTCTGGGAGCTCGAAGAGCACGAAGTGGCCTACAGTTGGCTCCGGGCATCCAAAATGTGGCCCGGGAATGGAGTTCTGGGAACTCGAAGACCACGAAGTGGCCTACAGTTGGCTCCGGGCATCCAAAATGTACGCCAGGAATGGAGTTCTAGCAGCGCCAAGAGCGATTTTGCGAGGATGTCCCAAGCGATTTGGGTTTCGACGGCAGCCGCGCCGGGTCCCGCCCCGGGTCCCGCCCCGACCCCCCTGAGGAGTCATGATGCTCTCTCTTTTGACCCCACTAGAAACCTATCAGTCTTCGCTGTTAGGTAAAAACACACACTGTGGGAAAACACACACACGTGTGTGTTTTTGTCCCACTGTGTGTTTGTTTTGTGTGTTTTTTTTTCCCACAGTGTGTGTTTTTTTTTCCCACGGTGTGTTTTTTCCCACAGTGTTTTTTTTTTTTCCGCAGTTTTTTTTTTCTCCCACGGTGTGGTTTTTTCCCACAGGCTCCCTCGCTTGGTGGCTCCCGCTCGGCTTGGCTCCGTCGGCCGTTTCGCGCTCTCTCGCCATCGGCATATGGCCCGCCGTCGGCACCCACTCTGCCCCACTCGCGGCCCGGCCGCCTCCTCGCCAAGGCGCCTCATTCGTGCGGTGGCCCCGCTCGCTCTGCCTCCGCCTCCCGCCTCCGGCTTGGGCCCGGTGGCCTCACCGCAGCTGGGCCTCTCACAACTCGCGCAGGAAAGAACTCTGGTCCAGACTCTGCAAAGGACTCCCTCCCAAAAGGCCTGGGGTCACAGTGGATCTGGACGGCATTGGAGTCCTTTAAACTCCGATGCAACAGCCCGCCTGACGGGTCCATGGCAGCGGATGTCAAAAAAAAATCGGTGGCTTCACCGCTGCTCTTTCGGGGTTTCGGCGTTTTGGGCCCGGATGCGCCTTGCGCGCGTCTTCCTGGCCTCTCGATTTCGCGCCGCTCCACGAGGAACCTGTAATGCGAGGTATACGTGCCCCTCCGTTGCCTTGCATCCGTGGTTTGGATTCAGCCGCGCGTCGGAGGGAAACGTGCGTTGTGTGTGTGTGCGTGTGTGTGTGTGTGTGTCTGTGTGTCTGTGTGTCTGTGTGTCTGTGTGTCTGTGTGTTTGTCTGTCTGTGTCTGTCTGTCTGTCTGTCTGTGTCTGCGTGTCTGTGTCTGTGTGTGTCTGTGTGTGTGTGTCTGTGTGTGTCTTTGTGTCTTTGTGTCTGTGTGTCTGTGTGTCTGTGTATGTGTGTCTGTCTGTGCGTCTGTGCGTCTGTGTGCCTGTGTGTCTGCGTGTCTGTGTGTCTGTGTGTCTGTGTGTGTGTGTCTGTCTGTGCGTCTGTGCGTCTGTGTGTCTGTGCGTCTGTGTGTCTGTGTGTCTGCGTGTCTGTGTGTCTCTGTGTCTCTGTGTGTGTGTGTGTCTGTCTGTGCGTCTGTGCGTCTGTGTGTCTGTGTGTCTGCGTGTCTGTGTGTCTGTGTGTCTGTGTGTGTGTGTCTGTCTGTGCGTCTGTGTGTCTGTGTGCCCGTGTGTGTGGATTGGGATCGGCGCCATGCTTATGGAGCTAGTTCTTTGACAGGATCAGGCAACTCTATGTTGTAGGGGGGGCAGGATGGGCGCCATTCCGAGTCAAGTCCGACTGAGAAATAGGTCTTGTGGGGGAGTTGGGATAGGCGCCAAGCTTGTTGAATTCCTAGTTGAACGCGCATGAAGTCAAGGAATCATATGTTTGATGCTTGTGAGAAGTCTGTCAGAAGTCACGCAAGGACGTTTCCTAAAAGGCTCTTGTTCTGGAGTTTTTGTTTCAGAAGCCTTTCACAAGCGTCTTAGAAGCTTTGCAGAAATCGCCCAGAAGTTTGTACTTAGGCTTGTGGAGGCTCGTAAGAGGCCCGTAAGAGACGTTCAGGAGGCCTCTCCGCATATTCCAGGATACTCCGAGAAGCTCCGACGCATCTCCACCCACATAGGTTGCAGTCAGATCGCTCCGGGTAGTTGCCATCGGTACCGACTAGTTTTGGAGCGCACCAAGTTAGTTGCCATCGGTCGTGTTATCCCTGAGGAATCTCCCAGGTGTCCTAAGGAAGCCCTGGTCCTAACGAAGCCCTCACGTGCTCCCCTTTCGGAATGGCCCGGATTCCTGAAAGAGTTCGCACGTCTCCACAACAGTCAAAAACCCTAATGAGGACGCGCGACTTTGCTCAGGGTACCCTTGCGTCCTTGCTCTTCCTTGCTCTCGCGGCTCGTCCTTGGCCTCTTTCGCTTGCCCGCTTGTCAGGGTACCCTTGGGGCGTTCGTCGCCCGCCGCCCCAGAAATCCCAACTTCGGCTTCCAAGGGTCTCGCGTCCTTACCGCGCGTCCTTCCTAGGGTTTTTGGCTCCAGTTCACGCCGCGTCGCCGCCCGTGGCCGCCGCGTGGTCGCCCGCTTGGGGGGGGAGGGGCACGCCGAGGCTTACGCCGCGTCGCCGCCCCGTTGCCGCCGCGTTGCCGCCCGCGCGTGGGGATCTGCCGAGGCTTCGCCGCGCAGCCTGCGCCGCACAGCCTGCAGCACAGTGCAGTGACTGCACTCAAAGAACCCCAATGAGGACGCGCGACTTTGCTCAGGGTACCCCTTGCGTCCTTGCGATGCTGCTCCTCTAGGCACCAACGCTTGTCTGGTAAGGACGGAGGTGCGTCAGGGTACCCTTGCGTCCTTTGGGTTTTCGTCGTCCGCCGTCCCAGAAATCCCAACTTCGGCTTCCAAGGGTCTTGCGTCCTTACCGCGCGTCCTTCCTAGGGTTTTTGACTACCTCTTTGGGATCCACGCGGTCTAGCATAGATACATTCATACGTGCACATACATACCCGTATTCTGCAGGCATCCACGGGCATGCAGGTGTCCAGCGCCGTGAAGGAGGACGGGCATGAAGACCACATGGGGGCGGGAACATGGAACTTGAAGGACAAAGGGGTCAAGAGTGAGGGAGGAGGACTGAGAGGATCGGGTGAATGATTAAGGAGGAGGGGCGCGCTGAGGAGGAGGATGAGGATGACGATGGCGAGGAACCAGGAGGGATGATGGATGTTGCAGGTGATGACGATGATGGCTACGATGACGATGATGGCAAGGACGTAGACGATGAGGATGCCGATTCTCATGGTAGTGATGGGGAGGATGGCACATGAGTAGGATGAGGATGATGGGGGAGGGAGAGGGCGACGGGAATGGGGAGGAAGGAAGCGAGGGATGGCACATATGGATAAGCGGGAATGGATGGATGAGTAGGATGCGAGGGAGGGCTAGAGTGAGGAAAGGAATGATTGACGGAAGGCGGGAGGCAGGATGAGAAGAAGGAAGAGGAAGAGGAGGACCACGACGACGAATTTGCAGCTGAAGGTGTGACAAGGAATGAGGATGTTGCTTTCGCTCGCACGGTCGTCGGAAAGCGGAAGCGGGCAGCGCGCGAGCAGGCGTGAACATGAGGAATGGGACATGCGGAGTATGGAATGCGATTAAGGAGAAAGACGGCAGGAGGCAAGAAGGCGGACGCTGGAAGGAGGAGCGAGGAGGAGGGGAGGGAGGGGGAGGGCAGATGAGACGAGAAGGCGGAGGTGGTTAGGAGGAGACATGATGAGGAGGAGAGGAAGATGGAGCAGGAGCCTGGGGGAGGACAGGTGAAGGATTAGGAGGGGGATGAGGGGCGGGGAGGGAGGGAGGGGGGGAGGGAGGGAGGGGGGAGGGCGGACGAAGGCTCCCTCCTCCCCGCGGCGCCGCCCGCCTCCAGCCCCGCGAGGCCGCGAGGCCCGGGAGGCCCGTTCGTTGGCGCGCCCGCCCGATGGGGCGAGCTCGGCGCGCGGCGGGGCCATGGGTGCGGGCAATGGCGCTTGCCGCGGCCAGCGTGCTGCCAGGCGCCCGCCCCCCCCCCCCCCCCTCCCGCGTCCAGCAGAAGCATGCGGAAGAGGGGGGGGGGGAGGGGAGGCGAGGCCTCGTCCCCCGCCTCCTCCGAGATTGCTGCTGTTGCTCGTCCTCCTCCTCCTCCTCCTCCTGGACAGGGGGGGGCGGCGGCTGCCGGGCGGAGACGGGGGCGGGGCGGGGAGGGGACGGGAGCGGACAATGGGGCAGGGAGGGTCAGAGGAGGACGGGGCAGCAGGGGCAGGAGGGGGACGCGGAGTTCAGGGAGGGGGGGGAGGAGTAGCGGGCGGGAGAAGATGGGGGGGGGGGGGCAGGCCCGTGGCACACTCGAGAGGGCCTCTGCCGGCCCAGACGGCAGGACAGCGACGGCCAGCCCGTCGCCTCTCCACTTGCCCAGACCACGCCCTATCGCTCCCACCCTCCCGTCCCTTGCCTCCCACTCTGCCTCTCCCAACCTCCCCCCCCCCTTCCTCCCATCCCTTCCCCATCTCCGTCCCCCTCCCAGCGCGTTCTGCTCTTCCTCCCCCCTCTCCCACGCGCCCTCGCCTCGCGCTCCCTCCTCGCTCTCTCCCCTCCCCCCCTCCTCCTCCTCTGCCCCCCCTGCCCCTCTCCTGGCGCCCCGCCTCGCAGCGTACTGTTTGCTTTGCCCGCCGCTTTCTTTCCATCTTCCCCTCGTGGCCAGGACTGGAGCCTGCGATCGCTGGCGCCATCGCGCCAGTCCAGGCTACGCTTCCACTTGTCCTGGTGCCAAGGACGCGAGGGCTTGGGGCAGAGCCCCTCTTCACATGACTCTTCCCTGCTCCTGCTCCCTCCATCCCCTCCTCCTGAGGGGAAGGAGAGGAGGAGGTGAAGCCCCTATTCCTTCTTCCTCCCTCTCGCTCTCTCCCTCCCTGTCCCTCCGCCCCTCACCTCCTTCACTCAGATCGGATGCCCTGCCGCCGTTTGGAAGCCCCGGCGCGTACGAAACATACATTGGTGAGTTGGAAAGCCCGCTGTATGCATCTTATCGTCGACATGTCTTTTCTCGCCAAGCATTGAACCCCTCGCAATTCTAGCTGGTAGCGCATTTGGGAGCGGTTGCAGCTCGCGATCCACGGAACGTGCGCAGAGTGCGACGTGGACGCACATTGCAATTTCCCTTCGCTTCCGCATTGGTATCACCCTCCAATCCATGAGCAATTTTTGCTTGTGGCTGTTTTGCATACCTGCTGGTAGTTCGCCTCGGACGCTCACTGACAAGCATGCGACGCGATGTGGAGCGACCCGCCCACGGGAACGCCACGACGCTCCCACGACCCATCGCACCCCACAGGTACTGGCCACAGCTTCGCGCCGGGCATGACAGTGAGGATCTTCTCTGGGCTCTCACCGTGCTTCGTGAAGTGCGCGACGGTGCGAGCCGTCCTTGCGAGCACGTCGCGCCAGTCGAGTGGAGCACAGAAGGTTAACGCACCAGTCTCACCACCCTTGGCTTTGACCAAGGCTGTCAGCACCACTACGGCTGCCCCTAACTTCGACATGGCGTTCGTCCTTGCGCCGGCCCGAGCTCCAAGGCGCACTAGCAGCTTTCATCGTGGTGGAGACCGAGGAGGATCTCCATCTTGACGCTCTGGGGCAACATCCTCATGTTCTTCGTGGTCGCCTTTCTGTGGCTCGCCTGCACGATGCCTGGTGGAGCCGGCCCACAGGGCGGTGGGGGCAGTCGTCGTGGCATCAGTTCCCGTCTGCCGCCCCATGGTCACCCGAGCGCGAGTCTACGTATCCATTCCGCCACTGGGTACGGGACCCGCTCGCCTGGATCATGCTCGCCACCGACATGGACAGCGCCCAAAAGTGCGCTACTGTCATCCTCAAGCTCGGTGGGGCCGCTCGCGAGTTCACGCGCTCCAGGATCTTCACGGAGATGATGAGATGACGGAAGGAGAATGGTCAACGGCCAGCACGAGGACGCCGTGACTTACCTCATTGCGAACCTTGCCATTCAGTTCGGTCCATTGGGCGAGGAGTCGCGCCTCCAGGCTACCCTCGAGCTTTTCGAGTTCTCCAGGCACCGTAGCGAGACCACAGATGCGCTGCTCTCGCGGTTTCTCACGCTGCGGGGTTTCTCACGCTGCGATTCAGAGCTGCGCACAATGGTGCAGCTGCGATGTCTTGGGGAGGCCGCAGCTGGCTGCTCCTCCGAGCGGTCGGCGTTGCAGCTAGCCAACTCACGGCGCCGGCCCAGCCCTGCCTCAACCGATGCCGATCCACGGGCCTGAGTTCAACAGTCTCGCTACTCTGACCAGGCGCGTGGGTCACATCGTGGAGCACGCACCGAACAACATCGCCAGCGCTCTTCGCTCGCAACCATTACTCGGAGGTTTCGATGGCGTGACCAAAGACGACAGTCAGGGCGCACCCTCCGCGGACCCCTGGCACACTCAGGGCCTCGATCCCTGGGCGGCCAGCGCCGCCGAGCTCCCCGGTGCTGGAGGTGCTATAGTGCGCGACGCAAGCCGTCGAGGCGCGCCGCGCCCCCGCAGTCGGCATTTCCCAGCCGCCGCGCGGGCGCCCGCGGACGGGGCCGACTGCGTCAGTGGAGCCTCCTCAGGTGCCGGCTTGGATCCAGGCGGCGAGGTCAACTACCGAGCTCCAGAGTTCCAGCGCCTCAGCCCTGTCCAGATGCATGCCTTGTTGTTACGGCAGCGCCTTCTTCAAAAAACAAAGGCAAAGGCCGGGGTGCCCAGGAGGGGCGCGCGTTTCTCTCGGGGCCCTCATACATTCGGGTAGATATGGTTTTCTTCGGTGGAAAGGACAGATTCAACGGCATGCGCTCGTCAGCCAGCGGGAATGGCAGGCGCCGCAATTGCCGCGGATGCGACATGATGAGACGGCCCCGCCATGGCGTGGAGCATCTGCGGGAGCGAATGCCACATTCGTACCGAGTGGCCTCGCGGCACCGCATCATCGCCACAGAGCAGCGGCAGCGGCGGTCATTTCGGAGGACGCCAGGACTCAGGACCCATAGATGGCTCCCTGGACCAAGGCAACTTGTTGTCCGTATCTCAGGAGTCGCCTCCATGATCACTGAGAGCCTTCCTCAGACACAGCCAGGACCCAGCGGCGCGCCAGTGCAGCCGTCCGTCGACGCCCCCGGGAACCGACCTGGATCTGCCCACTGCCCGTGGCCAGTCGCTTCGCATGCCGCGGCCCAGAGCCGCGCGCGCGGGCGCGCGAGCCGTCCGACGTCCTGCGTCCAACATTGCAGAACCAGCGTCAAGACCATTGCACAAGCCAGTGCTGCCGCCGTTTCCTGGCACGGCCACCGCCGCCGCGGAGCCGGCTGCGGCTGGGCTGCCGGCGGAGCTCGCCCTCCCAGTCGGCGCGCCACCGAAGATTGTAGCTCCGTGGGGCCCCCGCGAGATGAACCTTGTTGACCGGCAGTGCAGCGCGGGGGCCATGTGGGCCATGTCCTGGTCTTCGGCGACTAGCGAATCACTGTCCCACGTATCAGCGGTTCCACTCAGCTAGCGCAAGCTGCCCTGCCAGACAGGCCACAACGCCGCGGACATGAGCGCCGAGCTGAAGTGCCGATCGCAGCGATCAGGACCACCGTCGCGCACGACCTGGCCCCTGCGATATCCATCGGACTGTCTTCCACGGCCAGACTGGAGACCGAGCGCGACGCCCAGCTGGAACAACGACGTGCCCACCGACGTGAGCGCGCCCGACAGATGATCAACGTGGCCATGGCTGGCCCCCCCAACCGCGACGCCACCCTCATTGCCATCGGATCTACGTGCCGTGTCAGAAGTCACATGATTGGAAGTGGACACCGATCAGACGTGCAGCATCTGTTTGAACCAGTACGTCATTTTTGATGTTGCAGTTACTTCAACGTGGACGCCGCTTCCATCAGAGCTGCGCTGGTGCCCAGGCCGCCACGAGCTACGACGACGCCCAGCGCGAGCAGTGGAAGATACACCTCGTGGCGACTAGGCTCGAGCACGCCCCCCCTCCACCGCGCGCGCAATGCCCGACGCGCAGGCGACGCCTGGCGGCGCGCTGGGGCGCGCGCGCCCGGGTCAGCACCGCGCCCCGCGCTGCGTCCGAAGTGCGCGTTGCCCCCGAAGTCGACGGGGCGATGGTCGCGCCGCGAGACGGGCCAGTCGAAGGAATCCCACGCGGCACTCCCGCGCCCACCTGGGGGCAGCCGTCGCCCCCAGGCCCGCCGCAAGACGGCGAGGCCGACGCGCCCCCCCTGGCTGCCTGCCGTCGGTCCCGCCTGTGAGTACGCCGCTCAGGCGTGCCGCAGTTGCGCCCGGCTTCCCTCCTGCGAGTTCAGCGCCATCGCGGGCCCAGGCGCGTGGGCGAGCCGCGCGGGAGAGACTCGCGCGCGCCCATTGCGCCGCTGAGACGCAGAGGCAGGGCATTGGCCGCAGCAGCTCATGAGCGAGGCCTCGGGCATTGCGACGGAACTCAAGACCGCGGCCATCGGGCGAGCGCCCCCGTCGCCGTTGCGGATGACCAGGGCCGAGCAACCATCGCCAGTTTCGTCGCCGATAAGGGGGTCGGGCAACCCAGCTGGTCCGGGACGCCACTGTCGAACGCGCTGGGGAGCTCCCAATTGGCGAGCACCCAGCGGAATTGCGCGCAGCAGGGGCCGTCGCTGGCTACCGCGCAGCGTTCCTAGCGCCCACCTACCAAGCCACAACCTTAGATTATGCTCTGGCCACGGTCCGAGTCTCGGGGCCTGGCGCGGACCTAAGCGAGCTGCGCGGCGACGAAGCCCGCGCCTCGCAGATCGCCATCCGGCGACAGTTCGAGATCGGCGTCAATTTCGAGTCGGCTACTGGTTGCGATCAAGGCGGCCCTGCGGTCCAACGGCACTTCCTATATTTTCTCAGGTCCATCAATGCGCTGGTGGCGGTCATGGCACCATCTTGCCGCAGTGCTTGCGCGCCCAGTGGCGACTGCCGCGTCAACCGCGAAACTTGGCGGACACGTCACGAGGAAGATGCGCCGCGCATCTCCTTCTGCAGACATGTTGCGATGGCACGCGCGCGCGTGAGGGGCGGTACTTCTTTGTCGAACAACCGAGCCCCATCTGGCTCTGCGCAGTGCCGCCGCGGGAACAAGAATCCACGCATCCTCACGTAGATGCGGTTGTGTTCGACCAATGCTGTCTGGCAGCCAAAAGTCCACGTGGCCTCCCAGCCGAGAAGCCGCCACTGGCCATAGCCAACTCGCCACATCTGCTCGCGCCCTTCAGGGGTCTGAGGAGCAGCGGGAACTAAGACCGCGACGTCAACTGGGGACGAGTCCAAGACACCAAGACAATACAGGTCTGGCTGTGGCGCTTAGCTGAGCGCTTGGCGCAGGGCACTGTCGCGCTCAAAGCCACGGTGGAAAGCTCTGTCGCCCTGATGACCGAGCTCCACCCAGCCAGGAGCAGGCATCGGCCCAGAGGCTCTACAGGAGCTTGAAGGCCTGGAAGGAGCCGAAGCACTACCGGCACCAGCACCAGCACAGGAAAATCGCGAGCCCGACCGAACACGTCTGGGGCCCCGACGCGAGCCTCGGGCACGCAGACGCCCGCCGCCACGCCAGCTGCGAAGCAGGCAGCAAGCACCAAATACAACGCGATACCCAGAATGTCCTGGCTGCCGAGGAAATCGCGGCAACCTGGGCCCGCGTCGCATCAGGATCCAGAAAATGCGCAATCCCACCAGGCGTCGAGCCACCATGCTCATGCCCAGGATGTGCTCGCGACCCGCCGCGAGACAGAGCGCGCCCTGAATGCGCCAGGCGACCAGGATAATGCCGCTGGTTCGACAAGCCACACAGGGCTGTCCAAGGGCGCTGCGCCGGCCAACGCGGGTCCTTTCCCCGCGTGGCACGCGCGCAAAGTCTCGGGATCCGGCGGCAGGAATTCTTGGGTCACAGGTGAGTCCTGACACCGTTGGGCCGCCTCCTGATCGAGGCCTCACCGACGGCCCTCCACCACCAGCCTACGCGCGACGATCTCCTCGGCGGCGGCGAGCCACCGCCGCCGCCTGGCCACGCGGCGCCCCGAGCCGCAAGGGCCCCTCGACCACAATCTCGAGTCGTGGACTCTGCAAGGGGTCACGCACCAGAGGATTGGACAAGTTTCGGCGTCAGTTTGCGCGTGTCACGAACTGGCGGCGCATCGCTGATGCGACGCGCGATCCGCAAACTACACATACGCTGGCGACACGCTACGCGGATTTAAAAGGAAAATATTATGATCGCGGCCCGGTGCCCGAGCAGCGCCATGCAGGCGATCGTCGGCGCGACAGACAAATGCCGCGAGTGCCGGGCCTGGGTGGGCATCCTCTTCTTCGCCAGCATCTGATCTGGCGCGCGATCAACAGCTGACTGGCGGCATGCAGCCCGGCTGCTCGAGGGGGATTCCGGCGACGTTGGGCATCGATCCTCCGAGCGCCTGCGCTCTGCCATTCTGTCGCGTTGGATCTCGGTGTTCGGACCGCTCCAGGCCTCGATCATCCTGGATCGTTGATGGCGAGCGCTGCACATGCGGAGCCGAAGTGGGGCCAGTCTTCGACCGGCACGGCGTCACGGTGCGAGTCCGAGCCCCAGATCAGCACGCGCAAATGATCGCACGACGCGGCGCCATCTCGCGCGTGGGTTGCGTTGGCACACATTTACGGCGCGAGGCTGCGTTCACAGGCAATTCTTTCACATCTCGCGGAGGAACCGCACTATATATCGCCAGGCTTGGTCGACAACCGCGGATGTTGCCAGACGTGTTGGCGACGCCGGACGACGCGGCTGGAGTGGCGCGCTACTCGCGCCGGCTAAGAGAATCGCTTTGCAACGGATCGCGGGGACTTCGGCCATCCCGCGCATCAGCCGCGCCGCGAAGACAAACGCCGCAGTCCCAGGACAGACCCTGGACTACATGCCAGGCGAGATGGTTGACGTCTACCAAGCTTACTCCACCGAGGATGTGAGCGGGCGGAACGGCCCAGCCGCAGTCATCAATATTGATGCCTCACACGGCACCGTGACCATCAATTACCGATGCACCGAGCAACTGCGCTTATTCGGAGATGCGCGACGATTTTGACATTCTGGTGAGCTATGTGGTGTTACAAGTCTACCTACGCCGCCCCACTGTCAGGTATGGATGGTGGTGGAGCAGTGTATGATTAGCCTATCTGCAAAGACACTCCAACCCTTCCGCCTTGCCGACACGGGTGCGGTCACCGCCATCGCCGCAACCCGACGCCAGGTGGCATTCGGCCTCGAGTGCCTAGCTAGGAACGTCCTCAACCTCTGCAGCGTTGCGGCCATCCCAGTAGGCTGCAGCCTGGGCCGCATCGTGACCGAAGAAAGTCGCGTTGGATCACTCCTGGTCTGGTGGGGGCCAAGCAATCGCGAAATCGAGGCCTGGTGGAGCATCGAAACTGGCAGGCTGGGCCTCGTTGAGCTCCCCTGTCCCGACCGCAGCAAGATGTGTTATCTCTTGTTCATGACAGGCGAGGTAGCTGGATGCTGCTTCGGAAATATCGTGGAAGACATTCTCCACATGGCAGACATCAGGGGAAGCAGCGCCGATCCGTCGGAAGCCGGCGCACGACGATGGGAGTTTGTCCACCATCGACGAGGGATCCCGCGAGGTTTTCTTTGAGCGACCAACGCTTGATCGACGCCACGTGGTGGGCTTCCTTAGTGCACGATCGACAGACGGCCACGCAGGATGCGCCGTCTGCAGGGTCAGTTACGGTCCGCGGAATATCGGATATCGAAGCTCAACCAGCTCCCCCGCGTCCACTGCAACATGCAATTTCCACATAGGTATGTCAGCATGTGCCATTACGTCACAGTGGATGTGGCACCCTTCTCCACAGGCGAGGCCATCGACGCCGAAGAGAATGAGCATGCCTATGTGGGAATATTGATACCAGACGAAGTGCACAAACTTGTTCTAGATCGTCCACTCCCAGACGGACAGTGCGCACGCCTCCGGATCTACGTGGCAGGAACCGAGAAAGCTGTGGTCGAGCGCGACACCGACCTACTCACCCTAGAGTTTCTGGGAGCACGCTGCAGCGGTCGCAGCCGCGGTGTTTGAGGAAAAACCAATTAGGGTGAATCACAGCTGCTTCCCACGTGGCGCCCGCGCCGACGCGCGCGCAACATCCTTGACTGCAAGTGGGTCGGCGAGTAGAAGTGGACACGGAGTAAGACAGACCCTGCACTGAAACTGTGAATCATCCGCTTGAGGCTGGCCCCCCGAGGCTTCGAGGACGTCGACGCCGATCTCGTCGCCACAGATGCTGGCACCTCATTGCGATGCTCACAGCCAGTGATTGTCTCCGAGGCGGCCGGCCGAGGATGGGCGATCGACGCGTGGGGCGTCTAGAAAGTCTTTTTAAAAGAAGCTACCAGAAACTTGCGGGAGCCACGGGCGAGGAGGAGCGCGAGGTTCATTGCGAGCTCTCCCCCGACGTCGTCACGGTCTTCGGGTCCTTCGGCAAGCTCTGCGTGCGCAGGCCCCCGATCCTCAGGCCCGTGGGCAGGCTCTGCGTGCGGACCTTCACGATGTTCGTGCTGACCCCGTGATCGACGTGCTGGTCATCATGGCCCGAACCCGTGCACCAGGCACGCGGTTTGGCCCTCGCGGTCCAGCCTGCGTGGCCGCTACCGCCCGCGACAGCACCTCAGGGCCCAGCGGCACGTCCCCCAAGGACGTTGCCGACTGCGGCGGGGACAGTCTGCCCAAGTGCACTGTCACTGCCAAGGCCGCCCTCGCCCGCGAGCGTGCCCGGCCTGAGAGCGGAACGGCCTCCGAGGCCGTGGCAGCCCGTAGACCTACCCATTCGTCAAGCCCCGTTGGCGTCACGTTTTCGAGATCGGCCCCGTCGCGGGCTTCCGCCGCCTTTGATTCCATGTCCAGCGGTGGTCCCGCTGGCACGTACCCAGACTCTGGCTCAGCCCCGTCACGTGACGGCAACGGTGATGCCCACATCCGCCACGACGTCACACTCCAGCTTGCGACAGAAACCGAAGCTGGCACCCAGTCAGTTTTTCCTCTGTGAATCCTTGGCTCCCTCCACCTCTCTTCCCCTCGTTCCCATTGTCTCATGTGATCTCTCATCATTTCCCTCAGAAGTCTTTTCGCCCCCCCCCGTGTCGTCTGCCTTCCATCCGCGCTCAGCACAGCGATGGGAGGAGCCCCGAGCGCATCATGTTCCACAATAGCTCGCACCTGAGAGGCTTGAGAAGCCCCAGGGTATTGCAAGGCCCGCTGGGCAGAGGGGAGGATTCCTGAGCCAAGGCGCAGCGCTGAGGAAAGAAACTGGGAAAAAGAAAGGAAGAGAGAGAGAGAGAGGACGATAGAGAGATATGATATGAGAGAGAGGTTTGAGAGAGAGAGAAGCATGGAAAGGGAGACATGACGGCAGAGAGAGGTATATATTTTCGAATTATCAAGCTTGAGCTTACATGACCTTTGTGTTGCTATTGCGTTTGAAACTTGACTCATAATCGCGCCAGGAGGCTGGCTATAATCTCCATGTTGTGCACAGTGGTGTTTGTAATGCATCGCGAGGTTTGGCATAAGGGCGCATACATTCGGAGATCAGCGCTTCAAGGCTGAACGGTACGGACGCGCCATGTGGATGGAGCTCACGACTGCCGCAGTCAGAGTGAGGGGGCCAAACGGTCATTCATAGCCTCTGGGCGCGTGGCAGAAGTGGCGTTCCGTCCAGCGGACTCTGCTTGTGTCGTTGTTGTCGTCGTCCTCGCCCGCGACCCGCCCGCGACCCACCCGCGACCCACTTCGCGACCCACCCCGCGACCCACCCCGCGCCCGCCTCCTCGCTCTTACCCGCACTTGTGCGATGCTAGGTCGATATTCCTGGTGTGATATGTCGTGCCGATAAGGTTGGTCGACATGGTGTCATCCATGAGACATCTCACGCAATGAGCAGAGATCCCTCCATCTCCAGTGCCGACATCGGTGTCAACCCTCGTCGCTGAGTCGTACCATATGAAGATGTGTTTTGGTAAATGTGATCTCCAATTGCGGCCCTTACTGTCACCAACATCAGATCCACAAGCTGAATGTAGCTTCTCTGATCAGAAATTGTAGCATCACGCGTGCCCTTTCGCGTCCAGGCTGTGGGGACGTCGGAAGCGAAACGATTTCTGTGGCCCCCCCACCGCCGTCGTGTCGTCCCTCGTCCTTCCTACTCTCCCTCCTCTCCCCTCCTCTGGCAGCCTGGTGGGTACCGCCTCGCGCGCGCGCTTCGCGCGCATGCCGTCCCGGGAGTGCCCCTCTCCCCCCGCATTTTCTCGCCCGCTCCTCGTTCCCCTCGTAGCCCTTCTGGCACAAGCAATTTGTGCTTGCGGATCCCGACACTTCAGAAGGGCTGGGGGTTCGCGAGCCTGGCTGCGAAGGTGGCCCAGGACGGCGCGCAGCGTGTTGTTCAGACGGGCCCAGCCATGGCGCTTGGCCGCGCTGGTGGTCTTGCAGCTGCTGATCAGCGTACCTGGGTCTGCAGGTTCTGCATTCACCAGCGCACTGGTGAAAAGTTCTTCAATTAACCAGAACGTGACGTCTGCTACCAGTGCAGAAGGTCAAAAGGGGCGTGCTTCCACAGCTACAAGGAGCACAAGTCTCCCAGTGTCCGTGCTGGTCCTTCGGCCGACAAGGCCCCGTGGAACCAGATTAAGCTGCAACTCCAAGCAGCGCAGGACACCATCAAGAAGCTGGAGGCACAGTTGCGTGAGCAGCGCGACAAGCCAGGCATCAAGAAGGACGAGGCCATGGACGTGGGCGCTGGCGACGACGCTGGCACATCTACTGCCAACGATGGTCAATTCAATGAAGGAAAGGCTCGAACACGACTGGCCGAACTGGAGAAGCAGTTGGACATGGCCAGCAAGTGCGAGGGCCTCGCTTGGGTCACGCTCAAGGCCAGCTTGGGTGCGGAGCGTGATGCGCTCCAGGCTGATATCAACAAGCGGAAGCCTGCAGCAGCGAGGATGCTCAATCTCACTCGCAAGATTGAGGCTATGGGCGTCCAGATTGCAAAGCAGGAGAAAACCATTGAGAACAAGCGCGTGCAGCTACAAGGGTTGCAAAATGAGATTGATGAGTCGGAGAAAGCGGTGGCCGAAAAGAAAGTCAAGCTCGATGAGATGCGTGCGCAGGCCATGGAGGTTGCACAAGCCTCAGTCAAGCCTCCTGGAGCTCCCAGTGAGGAAGGTGCTGGGCAGGTGGCAGCTATTGGGCTCGACGCTACAAAGCTTGGACAAGTACTACGCGATCTTGGGGCAGGTGAGCATGCTGATAAGTTGGTGGAAGGCATCGCCAATCAGCTGCCTGACATCATTGCCAATGCCCAGGTCACCGTGGTTGGCAGGGCTGGTCTTCCTGCTGCTGGGTCAGCTGATGACCCTGCCGCTCGTGCAGCACGTGGGCTACAAGCCAAGCGTGATGCTGAAACTGCTGCAGAGGCTGCTGCAAAACGGGCTGCTGAGGAGCAGGATGCCAGAGACAAGGCCTTTGAGGAGGCCAGTGATGAGGCGCCCTCCACGATGTCGGAAGCTGCTGGCGTGGAGGTGATTCCTGAGAAGCCCAACCTCAGGGAGGCGGCGAAGAAGCTCTTGCAGTTCAGGCAGCAGACCAATTTCGGCAGCTTCCAGGCGGATTAGGATATGCAGTTCATACGTGAAGATCGTTATGGTACTGCTCTTGCTCATGGCGTATAATCTTGGAGGCAGCGGTTTGGATTTGAAGAGCTCGGCAGCCTCTTCTTCCAGGTCGGAAATGTTTTATGATGGTTTCAGTGGAAGTTCGAGTTCGGCTACATCATCGGTCGGGCCTTGCGCTGCAACTGGAGAGGACAGCGATGTGAATCAAGCCAGAAAGGAAGCTGGCGGTAACACCATGAATGGACGCATTACCACCGTCAACACTGATGCTTCTGGGCCCTTGCTGCAATATCTTGGACAAGCGCGTGATGCCGCCATATTGGTTCAAGAGCACAAGGCGGATCACAAGATGCTTCCTAAGCTCCAGCAGCAGATCCAGGACATCGGTTACCATGGTGTGTATGCAGCAGCTGAGCGTACTGAAGCAGACGGCCTCAGCTCGGGCGTGGCGGTGTTGGTGCCGACCTTTGTGATGATCACGGCGCCGCCACTGTTATCGTCGCCAACGTTATGGCCATCAAGAGCGGTGGCTGCGCAGGTCAACTGGGGCTGTAAAGGCGGAGTTGTTTTTGTATCGCTCTACCCCAAAGCTTCGGTCGGAATTGATGCCTACAACCAGTCCATATTATATAAGTTGGCAAAGTATCTTGGCAGGCTTAACTCTCTTTCGAGACCATGGGTGGTTGGAGGTGATTGGAATCTTGAGTCGCATCAGCTTCGCGGGCAGCAATGGCTTGAGCAGATTCAGGCGATGTTCTTGGTACCTGTTGGTGCTACGTGCAGAGTTCACAAAGAAGCTGAAGGTCGTACTTGCGATTGGTTTCTTCTCAGTGAGGCGCTGGCTTCGCGAGCTGGCGCCCCCCATGATCTTGGATGGCAAGAGTTTACCCACGCATTCGCCTGTGGCCATTCCATTTGCAAAGACAGGTAATGATATATGGTTGCGCTTGCTTGTTGAACCCCGTCAGCTCCCGAAAGGACCAAATTTTGGTTGTTCCAGGTATCCTGTAAATTGGGTGTCAGCCATGAGGGCGATAGAGGATGTTGACGGGCAGGCCTCATTGCAGCACGCGTGGGATATGACACTGATGGCAGTTGAGCAGGAGTTGTGTGCACGGCATGACAAGGTAGGAGCTGGTCATGAGAGATACCTTGGACGAGGAGGACCAGTGCAGACTAAGTACGTCAAGGCGCAATGAAATCCGCGACAGGTGCGACTACAGCATGGGCCGCGACTTCGAGCTTGGCTTCAGGCTGCGCGTTGGGCTACGCATCTTATGAAAGTGCGGGCCTTTTGGTGCAAGATGGCTGAGGCGTTCAAGCTTGAGGGTAGAAGTGCTGGCAAGTTTTACCTTCCTGACTACGCGAGTCCGCACTCTGACAAGGTCGCGGCATTGGAGACTACGAATGAAGAGATGGAGAGGAGGCTTGGCAGAAGGTCAAAGCCAAACGACCACACTTGCGACCTAAGTCTCGGCGTGCGGGGGTGAAGTCCGATAAAGCGCGGTCAGAGCAGTTGAAAGGTGCAAAACAGCCTGCACAACCGCGTGCAAATTCTGAAGAAGATCTTAGATCTCACAAGCTGCTCAAACCGGCTGCAAGATTGGCGAGATCACTTGTTGATGTGGTCCACTTCTTGAAGAAGGTGCACAATGCGCAGGACACGCTGCGGCATCTTGATGATTTGGCAGTTGATTTGTTTTCTGGGGATTTCACTATGATGGTCAGACCTGATTTTCTGACATTGGCATTCAAGATTGTGGAAGTTGTTGATGATATGATGATGGTGCATCAGAAGGAAGCTGTCAAAGATTTGCAATCATGGGTCAGGTCTGCATTTGAGAAAGGAGCTGGCGCTGCACATCGCGCGTCGAAGGCGAAGGCATTGGAAGCTGCTGTCACTCACACTGATAACTTTCAGCCGTATCAACTGGCCGACAGAGAGCTTGAGTGCTGGAGTGAGGTGTGGAGTTGTCATGAAGTGGTGAGCAACAAGATGCCTGCCGATTATCAGAGCTGGGATCTGCTACCGAAGCTGCGGCCTGAAGACCTTCAGGAAGCGGCGCTTACCTTTCCATGGGGAACGTCGGTAGGTCCCACGCGACTGCATCCTCGCGCTTCCTGGTATCTTCCGCAGCCAGGCCTGGTTGCTCTTGCAGCTCTATTTACGAGGTGTGAGCATATGTTGATGTGGCCGTCTGACAAAATAGTCAATGAGATGGTTAGACTAGCAAGACCTGGTGGGGGAACACGTCTTATCATCTTGGTCGAGTCGCTAGTCCGTCTTTGGTCCCGAGCTCGCCGACCGATTTCCAGAAGGTGTATTCAAGATCATGGTAGCCGGTGTATTTGGGGCAACCGACGCGGCTACTCATCCAGCTTCTCGGCGTATGAGCATAATTTACATGCTGAAATAGCTGATCGACTAGGTGAATGTTCAATCACTGTTTTTTCGATATGTGGAAATGTTTTGAGACGGTTATGTATGACGCCCTCATCATAGAGGCTCGGTCCATGCAGTTCCCCATGAGGCTCCTCTGGATGCTCTTGGACTCGTACCACGACCTAGAGTAAGTGGAGCTTTTGGGTGCTGGAGCAAATCGTTTCGGGCTCTGCAGGGTATACTTGCGGGATGTACTCATGCTACTACTCTGCTGTCTATCTTGGCATATAGAGCTGTCCATAAAGTTACCCAGGTGAGCCCCAA